GATAGATAGATAGATAGATAGATAGATAGATAGATAGATAGATAGATAGATAGATGGCAGAGATAGATAGATGGCAGAGATAGATAGATAGATAGATAGATAAATAGACACGGATAGATAGATAGATAAATAGACACGGATAGATAGATACCACTAGTAGTGGTATTCGGCACGGCGAACCATAGTCTTTTCTAAGCTGGATTACTTTTTGTGTGAAAGAAACGACGACTAATGCAACTTGACTAGCATTCGATGTATTTCATGGTTTGTTGCATCCCGTTCACAGTTGCTTTCTCACCTATGGTCCCACATGTGAACGACTTTTCGCAATGTATCCACAATACTTGCTACTTGCCTCGGGTTTTGTTAATCACGTGATTAGCTGTTAATTCCTGTCAACCATGTANTCCGGATAGGAAGCTTCCAAAACTCAGTCTTCTGGTTACATGGTTGACAGGAATTAACAGCTAATCACGTGATTAGCTGTTAATTCCTGTCAACCATGTAACCAGAAGACTGAGTTTTGGAAGCTTCCTATCCGGAAGGATTACGCCACTGTCGATTCAGATTCGAAGTATCGAGGGCAGGTGAATTATTTAACTAGTAACTGATTCTGTACCGTACGTTACGACACAACTATCGTCGTGAGTTTCTCTAACCATCATCTTTGAGTTCCCAGTAACTATAGCTGAAAATAATCCAATTCACCCAGGCGGATTCCGATTCAAGGGGCAACGATTTTTCCTGACTCCTTATATGCAACATCCTGAATTTAGAATATCACCGTTGTGACAAAAAACGGTGATCTGTATTATAATCTTGAATAAAGGAGTTGTTCTTTTGTCTACACAATGTCAAGATGCGTTCAGCAACATGACTGGATTTCGCTACATCATAAGACCTCTTGCGTAGTGCCGCTTTAGCACAAGTGTTTTCCGTTTTTCAACCATATACCATTAATGTTCCGTCCTTTATCCCCTACCTGCTGCCCCTCATATGCTGTTCCTCAGATTACATGAAAACAGACAGTGATCGTCGTCGTGAGGATCTGCTGCTACAAGACTTGGTCCAGTTGGTGAATGAACGCGACGATATGATACACGAGTTGGATTTGCATGAGCAAGCGTGAGTGGTATCCTTATATTTATCCATCTGTATGTGTGGGAAAGCTATTGGGACAACAGACTCAAATGATAAGAGGAACCATATGAGTTCTTTTGTTTCCGATTGTATACAGAAATTTGAAAAAATCACTAAATTGACAGTTTCATTTAGGAACACATTCCCTGACGGTTCGTCATATCCGTCGGCTAGTCGCAGACTGAGGCAAATGGACTGGAGCACTTCAGTCGATTTTAGTAAACTGATCCTGAGTGTTGCCCAATTTTTCTCATTTCACCATTTCTGTCATTCTTTGTGATGCCCATTCCAAAGGATTTCGGATCAGTTGTTTTCTCTATTTTCAGTGGTTTAGGTCATTAGCGAACCCACACAGTGGTTGTGCGTTCGAATCCTGCAGCTTTGTTGTCTTCAAAATCTTTTGTTTTCCACCTCGTCCTTCTTGAAATTTGACCATACGATTGTATTAGTGCAATAGATAAATATGAAAACCATTTACGCTCACGTGAGGGATCTTCACATCTGTGCACTGACCATGCTTAAGTTTTTTTTAAGTCATCTCCCCAACCACACAGCACAGTATCGTCCAACAAGTTACCTATCCGGACACCACCAGCGAATCTCAACGACATACATACACACAATATTGACGGNCGGACAGTCAGAGGGGTAGTAACTATATGAATTCTACGTAATAAGACGATGAGTAGACTGGAAACTTTTCGATTTCAATTACCGCTAGACTGAAAATTCATGGATCATTTCCGGTTATATTGTGCGATATTTCTGTTTTAAGCTGAACCAAGCGATCGGCATTCATTGTGTACAGCAATATCAGAAAATTGTTCTTATATGCTTTAGTTAGAACAAACGACCTACGGAGTGAAACGCTGCTCAATTTCACGCTCGCAACTGAATTAATCTTTGACAACAGGGTGCAACTGTTGTCCCATTGTTCGCTTTTCGCTAAGTGGTTGTACTCCACCAGTTTGAATTTATATTCTCTCCTCGTTTGGTTTGAGGTTCTAGTAGCGTGCGGTTATCCGTATTGTCACAGTTCATACGGTATAGATTGATAATTGTTTTTTTGTTTTTTTCATTGTCGTTGTGTAATTGTCTGATCTCATCCCACATAGTTACTCTGCTCACTTAGATGATTAGATCATGATAGATCAATTCCTTTTCTTGTTCGTTACCGTAATCGGGGTAACTTTATCATCGTAACTTACTTTGGAAGGAAAATGAGTAGCGATTTGGTATTGCATCGTTAAAAACTCGTCCTCCCTGCTCGATGTGTTGCATTTTGTCATTATACCCCGATCCATATTCAAATCCCTGATTCATGTAATGTTCTGTGCATTTTTATCTCTCCTGCTTGAATTTCAGGCTAGCTGAAGAACTAACCCTGGAACAGAACGCGGCCAAAGCTCTGTCTGCAGGTCGCGAACGTGCTGATAAGTGTACGATCCAGTGACCACAACGCCACCCAACTAGCCCTTCTAACTGATAGCACTCATGTTCAGCACATCGTTCAGTTCACTGTCCGTTGTTTACCTCGCTCGCTTCATCCAACACAGTTGCTTGTCCATTCACACGCATGTACAAAGCAGAGTACTTTCGTGCTGTACACGCACACAGACACCAATTGAATGGTAAAAAATGGTCATTCAACGCGATTTAGAAGCGAGATAGTCTTTCTGGAAGAAACTAGCACTGGGATCTACCGTCACACATGCATACGGTCACGTCATGCCGTTATTTTCGGCTCACACACGCACATACATGTACGCCACTGCCTTTCCATCGTTGGATCCAAGCACTCGTACTCCAATGTGTTTGTAATCTCCCTCCATGTCCACCTCCATTACCGCATCTCTATCTTTGTTTTCTCTTATTTAACTTGTTCTCTATCTCCATTTCCCTTGTTCTTCGCCTTGTGGATCCGTATAGATCGACTGATCACATCTGTTCCCCCCTTTTTGTTACCTTTTTGCCGATCTCCATGCTGTGCTGNATTCGATCCGTTTGTCTCTCGTTCTTGCGTTTTTTTATATCCTTTGCTTCAGTTTGTTTTTGTTCTTTCGTTCAATTCTATCTCTACATTTCTCGCTCGCTTCTTATGTGCATATATTTTACTCTCTCTCTCAGTTCCGTGATACATCCACTATCCCGTCCTTGGACTAATTGAGTGTGTGTGCGCGCGCGCATGCATCTGTGTTTCCGAGACTGGCAAGCACAACGAGTGCCGATCGTCTGTCTATTCGGTAAACCACGCCACGTTTGATCTCTACTTGTCTGCCTCAACCTGATCACTCTCACGCCCTGTCTTGTCCACTTCTGCCAGTCCCTTCCTCGAAAACACTTATACACCGAGAATAGTCTTTTGTTGTTGGTAATTCTGCATTGTGTAAGATCTCGGTATGAGTGACCGTTGCGTATGTTAGTTATAGGTAGGCGTCTTTCGCTAGATGGAACGAAATGTCAATTACTGACCATTAGTGAACAAATTCCAAGTCGAGCCGCAAAGATTTCGTTGTATGAGCTGCGATTAGGCTTACAGTCCTCGAAGCTGGAACAACGAATTACAGAGACCGTGTGCCCGTGATTTTACAGATCGTTTAGGATGATACTTCGTTGTTTTATTACATTCATGATTTCAGTGTCTCTAAATAGGGAGTCAAAGAACGCATATGATGTAACCGTTGTTTTTGATCCATTAGTACCGACTGGAAACATCAGTCAAAGGTATGCATATCAGAGGGCAGCATTGACGAAAGCAGTAAACCATCACTCGGCTAGTGTGTGGTGTAGGTGTAACGTGTGTGTTAACCAGGGGCTGTTTGGCGGTTCGAGCCCTGCAGTCGGTAGGTTTTTACTCGTTGAACAAGCGCTCAGGAAAGTTTTATGTCAATGGGAGAAAGCAGTTTTATGAATAAACAGTTAGAAATCACAGCATTCAAGATCCGATAAATGCGCTATCAGAATATATAAATTTCATGACTATAAACGCCGTGGGATGCCCGAAAAACGAAAGTCTACCTGGGAAAATAAATGCTGTATGCTACTCATGGGTAGTCTAATGGACATGGGAAGAAACATTAATTACGAATAGTAATTAACAAGAGGATTTGTGTGGTCGTCATTGTTTTATGTTAACCCAATCGTGGATTCATATTGTTGAAGACTGGATCTATTACCGCACATCTTGTCTGCTTTAAATGAACCATGGTTCCCAGTGTTCACTGCCTATCTTGCGATACTACTTAAACGAGGACACGGCGTCATAATTCTATTTTTGGTGCTGCATGCTACGAGGTGTTTCCGCGTCCCGGTCAAGCGGGTGGTAAATTTATGTTGTTGGGACTACGTGCTAACGGACGACAGTCTACAATGTGTTGGGTTTCTTCCCAGGCTACCGATCTCTGTAGCACAAATCCACTACTGTCCGTAGAGAGTAATTGTGTCTTATGCGAATCTTATCGCCCGCTATTTTTTAAAACTTTTATTACACCAGTGTATAATAAACAGTAGGGGTGGATCCCATGGTCACGAAGACCTGTTGTTCAGTGATGGTTACCGGCAGCCTAAACCCAAGGGCTTGGAGTGGTCGACCACATAAGGCCCCGCTAGCTCAGGCGTGGCGTTGAACCGGACGAAAGCAAAGCTGTCTACCACCTTTAATAAGTAATGCGAGCACGTTTTTGTTCTGTAGTTAACATTTGGCCAAATAAAGATACGTATCCTTCGAGGCAAAACAGAGATGTGATTCAACCGATTGATCCTGAGAGAACTTCACTTTAAAACAAGATTTAGTTCATCCAGAAAGGTGTTTGACTAGAAGTGGAATAATGTGTGGTGCGAGTGTGATAGTTTTCAGCTGGTGCGAGACGATCTTTTGAAACAATAATCAAATGTTAATAAGTAGGGAAGTGCGTTCTGAGGTACGCTGCTGGGAGTTATCGACGGTCATCAATCAAAAGCGCTTGGATTTCGTTCGTCCCGTTATAGTTCGAACAAACGTATGGCTGCATCCGATACGAATTTTCATGCTGCTCGGTGAGCACTAAAGCAGTCCACTTTTCGTGATACTTCTTTTGCCAACAAAGAGATCCGTGCAGAATGTGTACGTAAGTGATTTATCAGGAATTTTTTGTGCTGTGATTCTGTTTTTCGCGTGCTTCCTTATCCGCCGCAAGAAGTTCGGTGTCGATTTCCCTTATTTGAACGACAAGTTGGTGGCTTTCGCATTTAATCCCACTAGAGATGCCCATAACTGGGTCGTTTTTGTAGCAGAATATAACTTAAATACTGGGTCACGTGATACACCGACTGATTAGTCAACAGGCACATCGCACTATGAGGACGGTAATTTTTGTTTTAATCTGATGATAAATAGTTGATAATCTTTTTACGAGTTTCGAGTTATAGATAGCAATGAATGATGTTGCTGTCTAATAGATACCAAATCACAATGAATTATTCGTGGGTTGCATAATTTGCCACAAGATTCTGTTAGAGATTTAATACGAAGTTCGATTGTGGTCTGCTCGCATCCCCGTGATAATTAACCTTGCGCTGAGTTCGAAATTTATAACTCACTTGGATTGAATGTGCCAAGTTGACCGTGCCTTGATCAAGGCAATGCAATCAGTCAGCAGCTTGCAACACATCAACAATGTCTGTTATAGCCTTCATCCTACGCTATTGTTGAAGGTGGCGGACTTTACCAAACAATGATTGACTTCGTCGGCGTAGTCTTACCGCCCCTAATCAGGTAGTCTGTATCTACTGAGCATGAGATGATGGTTGTTGTAAACTGAATGAAACTTTACAATTGCTTGTGAGTGATAATGTATGCAGCTATGTTCAGGCCCTTGCAACTGGTGTACACACCTACAAGACTCGATAACATGTCGGTAGATTAACCCAAATAAAAAATCTATGCTATCCATCACGCATACTGTTTTGTTAGTTTGAAAGATAACCAAGCAATTTATGGGGTTGGGATTCGCTGAATTACTCGTTCATATCTCCTATCGTTGTGCTATAGTCTCACTCGAAATCTGAGTTTCACTTCACGATGTGGGTGCTATCAAAATGTCACCATCTCTCTATGTTGAATGGTACTGCTATTAATGTGCCTCCAGTAAATGGAATCCAGATGTCGGCTTGGAAATCACCATGATAGATTTTGTTTCTGATAATTCGTTATCAGTTTTCCTGCTTAGAATAAATATTTCTTCTTTGTCCCTTTGAGTGTCAATATAAGCTTGGTGTCGATTGTGCCAAAATGTTTCGTCGGTTGCGTTTGTCCAAACAAAGCGGCAATTTTCGCGGTTAAACCCTCCTCAGTGGAATGTCGTTTATTGAATCATTCAGAGTCTAGGCCGAATCCACCCATTCAACATCCTCGTTTATGCAAGACTAAGGTGAATATTTTATCGATCCATCTTACGATTAATTTTTACCCGACAAACCGAGGTGAGTCACGATCGAACGCGCTCCTTCTCGTCTAATGGGTACTCAGTCAAGAGGGGAAAAGTCAGACGCCCGTTCTAATAAATCACTCAGTCCCTCTTGGTAACCCAATCAAAAGTAGTTAGTAGTTACTCGCTGAAACTGGTTCATTCCGAACGAACAGGCGTCACCTTAGACCTGGTCCAGATTATGTGGAGCGGTAGAAAAAACATCGTACTGTGAGGTTACCAGTAGAATGCCATCGGTGCTACAGTGGTTTCACCTACAGTTGGAAAGATATAGGATGTATTGGGTTCAATTTCTAAGTATTTCACAGAATAATGTTTTCTTTTGTTTATTTGAAATCCAAAAATGTGTGAAAAAGAATGATTTTCACTCATTCCCTAAATCTTTGCTGTTACAAATTCAAAGTTGGTAATTTTGATATCATTTCTCACAATGGAGAATCTGGTGATAATGCCAATAATTTAATTTAATTTTCTAACTGTCCCTTGATGAATATGTGCAATCATACATAGTATTTTCAGATAAACGAAGCGGCTTATTAAAATGCTTCCGTGTTGTATATGAATATGGGAAATTCTACGCGATGATCAAGAATTCAAATTTTCACTGTGGTAAATCACAAAGCTCGTTTTTTTATCGCATAGGATCTGTACACAGTGGGTTTAGTTGGTAGTACAATTAAATAACGAATTATAACGTTCACTCACGGCTGCTGAGTAATAAGGTGTTTCAATGCTTCAATGAGCCGTAAGACTTGAATAAATCGATGCTTGGAACACAAACACATTGGAATGGAAAAGTGTTCCAGGTATCACAAACTCAGATTGAATGATTGAGGCCTGCAGTCTAGCCGACTCTTGGGGGGAAGGTTTAAGTGATAATTTCTGGATAGCGTTAGTACAGTACTGCAAGGGTGGTTACGTTGATGTAGTATTTGATACACTAGGATCATGTCTTCTCGTATTCAGTGGTATTCAAACGAGCCGAGGATTGGCGGCCATTCAACGCACGTTTTGGATTGTTACCCCTTGACCATTTTATTCTCTGCGGACTTTTGAGCGTTTTTTGATCACGAATTAGTCATGAATTTCAAGCCTGGATAGCATACTTGATGTGCGGTCTGATGTATGCTGTTAGCAAATGAGGCAAATGTCCAACAATTCAAAAACACGTTTTAATAATCCACTTTGCTTTACTGCCTTTATAAGACGCAGTGTTTGGAACACCCTAAATCCTCATGAACAATATTTCCCAGATCTTCTTCGTCTGGAGCGTGCGGTAATGACGAAACATTGAAAATCGGTTGTCATAGCTCGGGTGAACTGAATTCCATTTCGCCTGTTCGCCGAGCTTGGCAATTTGTTTGCAAACGTTTCATCACCAGACGAGGTGACATCATCAGTGCTTGTGAAGTGGCAGTGTTCTGTCTGTACCCGTTCGTTTATATATGCGTTCTTCTCCACCGCTCGCAATGGCTACCCCCGCAACTTCATCAAAAGAACTCTGGCTCAAAGAAAGAAGGGAACAACAGACGGAGAATCGGGAACAAGAACTACCCTGCCGTACATCAAGGACGTTTCGTAAATGACAGCAAGACTTCTCAGAGCGTATGGAATCCAAATCGCCCACAAACCGATCGCCTGTCTAAGGGGACTTCTGTCAAAACCCAAAGAGGGAACAATGGAGAAGGACAAGAGCAGCGTCATCTACAAAATAAACTGCAAGAACTGTTCAAACAAAACACTGTATCGGACAAACTGGGAGAAAACTGTCAACAAGGATCCGTGAACACCAAGCGGCAGTCAGGAGGCATGACCCACTATCCTTGATTTCCCTTCACGAAGATCAAGAAGGACATCAATTTGACTTCGAATCAGTGAGAATTATCGACCAAGCCCGGTCAAAACACGCCAGAGAATTTCTCGAGGCCTGGCACTCTTCAA